AAAATATCGAAAGGTTTGTACAAAACGCAGTAATATATTGTTAAAATATACTTCGTTTCTCAACCATTCGAGTGATCTGCGTAGAAATAAGGTACACAGATTAAAGAACCTGGAGGTATGTAGCTCAGGATCGAGGAACCTGGCATAGCTACATCCGGCACGTGAGAGCATTCTAGTAACACCACTAACTTGGAATCCGCATACAGATTATCCGGGTGGCCTTGGTCTGTCTTCAAAATACCTCAAATTCTTCGTGCAAAATAATAAATGTAATGTTTAAGTGGCGCAAATTTAGCTTTTTCTCGGACTTATATTTTCATTCTAGTTCCTTGAATATGTTGCTGTTAAATTTTGAATTTCTGAACAAGAGTTTATACTCTTGAGCAGCGTCTTATCATTCAGTTGCTAATTTAGCCAATTCCTTGTATCTGTTTATTTGTGTTCTCGAGTTGGTTAAGTCGAGAAAGTACTTCGAACTCGACTACTCTATTAAAAATACTCGTCAGCTAAGAAATTTGAACTATTATTTACCCCAGTTGGGATTTTATAGTGCCTTTATCAGTGCTTAATTTGTTTTCTTTCCCTAGTATAAAGCAGTTTATATTGGCAAAGCTCTGAGTAACTCTTTTGTTTAAGGGTTGATTTCTTGGAAAGAAAAACGAAGAAGCCTTTAGTTCTTATTTTTAAGGAAAGCATTGTCGAGTTACTCGAAAATCATCCAAAATGTTGTCTTCTAAAAAATTTTGGATTTGGATAAGTTTAAAATTTCGCTTGAAAAACCAAATTCTTTCATGATTTCTTATTTTCGTTAATTTGATGGGGCAGATTATCATGGGTTTGATTAGAACAAATATGCAAACCATTATTATCTTTTCTTATTATTTTTGCTATTATTGCTATTATATTATTGTTATTATATCATCACAGTCACTCTTTATTACTGTTGCTCCAAGTCTTGCTTTTTCCGCTTCTTTTATGACGTTCATTAACCTTTCCATTATATTCCTTTGCAATCAAATGTAAAGCTAAAAATTTGGATTAAAGGGGTCAGGAAGGATGCATGAATTACAAGAACACTTTTTAAGTGGAAGACCAGTGCTGCTGTGCAGTGCACATGGAAATGCTAGTGCTGCATTTTTTAGTTCTCCAAAACAGCCAAAAAAATTTTTTTGAAAATTTTTGCGTATTTCTAGCATAATTTTGGTCATTTCTGTCCATATAACACTGCGCAAGTGCAGCAAAAATAGAACTTTTGCAGAGAAGAAGCCCTGGAGTCCTTAGTACTTTCAGGAAAAAAAACCCACTTTTGTCATTTGTCATGATAAAATCAATAGAAATTGCGTCATGAAAAGTGCAAGAAAGAGAGATGTTGCATTCGTAGCAGTTGGGAGACGTAGGTAAGGGAGGGGTGCGCAACTTTAATTTTTAGCACAGCATTTAAAATTCAGTAACAAAACTAGTCATTTCTTTTAACCAACTAGTATGAACAATTTTAATCCATCAGTAATTATGGTTCGTAAATTATTTTGAAAGTTTGATCAGCTATCACGTTCCTTTTTCCCACTGGTGCAGCTGACTACTTCTCCACTTTTCTTTGCTTGGGGCCTTTCTCATTCACATATTTCCATCTAAGTTTTCAGACGGGATCCTTTCGCCATACTGCTGGCTTTCCTTGCGTTTTCTCACCACATATGTTAAAAATCTATCAGTTAATTGGGAAAATTTGTACAGACTTTTTTGCCCGGAAATGATGGTTATAAAGCGCTTTGGTAGCGAAAAATAGCTGCGTAAAAAAGTTTTTTTGAGGGAAGGAGGCACAGAGACGAAAAAAAAGGAACGGATTACACTTTTTGAAAGGTCTAGCGTAAACGAGGAGCGTGCATGATGCTGGTTTTTGCTGCTTTTCAAATCACTAATCGGCATGTTTATGCTTTTTTGAATATGTTCCAAAAATAACTACGGACATTTTATATAAACACAGTAAACATTCCCATAAAAACAGGTCTTTGGTGCATGGCGTCTTTCAAGTTATTTTTGCTACTACAACAAGTTAAGTATCCCTCCGAAGTGGAAATGAAGAAAATCATCTAGCTCAGTGAGAAATTTGAAACTGAGAAGTTCTGAATTATTAAGTTTACCTTATTTATAAAAAATTATTAGATGCACAAAAGAATACACGTTTTGGCAAGATCCACAAACGAAAATTTGCAAAAAAAAGGTACGTTTCCTAGAAAAAAACAAGAACGATACATTTCTCAGACATGAAAGACAAAAACGGATAAAGATCCGCGCACGAATTACCTAGATAAATCAGAAGTTAGTAGGTTACTAAAGTCGGAAAACCTTAAGATGCTGAGAAATAATTTTGACGAACTATTGCTTCACCGTCTCGTTTCTTCTCGCTAGTGATACAGTTGGCAGGTTCTTCATTCTTCTCTGTTTTGGACCTCTTTCATCCACAGAATTTCATATGGCTACTTAACGAATATTCTCCATCGCTTGGAGGCTTTTACCGTCTTCTTCCAACATTGTTTGGGTACCATCCAATAATTAAGTTTTCTGTCTGTTACCTCTCATTCTTGTCATGTAGTCATTCCAATTCTTTTTGCTGGCGCACTCTGCCCCAAAATGCTTTTCAAATATGTGCGCTTTCGACTTCATTTAAAACAAATTTTTCTAATAAATTTGCCAAAAACGTTTTTCATGCCCTTTATTTTTTGCGGAAGTACCTTTTTAGGAAAAAAAAATCTAGTGGCGCATCTATGCTATAGTTTTTATGCCGTTTGTGCTAAACCCTATTTACTTGAAACACTTCGAATTTGAAAATTACAAATTTCTTGATTTCTTCAGATTCTATCAAAATCCAACGTTTTGGCAGCTTTTTGAAAAAGTTCAGCAGTATCACTAACATAAAGTCCCCACATTGTTCGCCCAGTTCGCTGTATTTAAAGAAGTTATTTTGCAGTTGATTGTCCAGCTGAGGAGAAGAACAGTTTGTTCTGGAAAATACATGACGAGCATGAGCACCATCGTTATGCGATTGCGACATTCGTCAGGAAGACAAGTGAAATGGTAGAAGAAGCAGGGCAAATCTTTCTACGAATAGAGCCCACAAGCAACAAGGAGTTAGCCGAATTCAAAAATGAGCGCCCAACCAAACTCGAGCTTCCCATCAGCTGAATTTTGGCAGTGTTCAAAAATATCAGCGGCAATGATCTTTTTTTGATGTTTGGTGCGAAATTTTGCCAAAATTGGACAAAAGTCCATTAGGGCTGCTAAATTCAAACCCAGCTCACTAGCAGAGAACCAATGCCCGGAAAAAATCCTGAATCCATACTTCCAGCCCAAAAATTACATGTTCAGAAATACAAATAAATCCGAAAAAAAAATCAAAATTCTTGCCCAGGATCAAGATAACTGAGTTGTCCACAACATAAAAAAATTTAGAAATTATCTGTCAATTGTTATGGCCAACTGCCTGAAATTTTGCCCAGTATTAGGATTTTCCTTGAATTTCAGATTTCACTTCCATATTCTTACGCAAGAGCCAGGGACTGCTGGCGCGGTTATTAAGTTGTTCTGAAAAGAACATAGCTAAGATCCTGAATTTGGTAGGTGCGATTCCCTGAGACTGCCTGAGAATACCGAGCTTAACTCAGCCCTTCACCTACCTTTCATATTGCATCATACTGTCTTGTGTATGTATATTCCTGAAGTTTTTCGCGTGAAATCTCATGCTTTGTATTACTTGCATACATTTGTCGTTAAAAGTTAGTTCTTCGTGCTAACCTAGACAAAAAGGAGCCGCAGTAGTTGTGGTAATGAGCTTTATTTTGTTTTTCCTTTGCATTTTTGTATGTGGTTACTTTGAGGAGCGGTTTATATACGAGTTAAGTATCAAATGGATTATGAATTAGGAACTGCATCCTTTACACTCGCTCATTTATTTTGACGCTAAATTGGTACTG